TATATATGAGATTATGAAATGAAATATTTCAATATTGGATAAAATGTTTTGTGTTTTGAAGAAATAGATAAAAAAAATTTTCGCTCTGTTTATTCAGATGTGACCTGTATGTCTAAAAGTTCATGTGCACTTTCACGCTTGGAAAAAACAGTGCAACATAAAGGCTGATTTACACGGCACGATTGTCTCGTGCGATTTGTAGTATACGACTTGAATCGCGCAGTGTATACCCCTACGACTTGTCTACAACAGTCGTACGCAACCTACGACTTGTAGYAGGATTTTGAACCACTGCTTAAAATCCTACGACTTGTAGTAGGAAAATCGTATACTACAAGTCGCGCGCGACAAATCGTGCCGTGTAAATCAGCCTTAAGGCTTCCTAACCATTTTCTTGTGTGCAAACTATGTTCAGAGGTTTTTAAGTCAATTTGAGAGGATGGAATATATAAAAAAGATGAATTCCTTCGCAGTTTTGAGTTCCCTGTCCTATTTTGAATGGTCAACGCGAGATTAACCAGCATTCAATTATGTCGCGTCTATGAAAAATTAGGTAATTATCATTGCACACTCAGTGGTTGTTTCTCTACGCGTCTTGCGTTTCAAGATGCCGTAGGAAGCAGCGACAGACCAGTAGAATATTAGCCTCTTCGCATCATCTCGAAAAGATGCAAGAATCTTTTGAAAACCAATTCAATTCGAAGACCATGGTGTTTTGGTCAGGTTAGGGCTAGTTGGGCGAGTTTCGTTTTCCTAAATGTGCAACAACAACGATATGTATGGTTTCTGTGAAGCCAATATAGCATTCTTTGTTGTTTTGCATACCTTTAGAAACTTGACAATAATTCGCTAGGCTCACCTCTCGTTTCACGTTTCCTTTCAATTCAATTTTAAGGCACTTCTTTTTGGAAAACGGCGCTTRTATGGCGATACTCTCGTTTTCTACAATATAATTGCACTACCTTCTCACGGTATCTTAATGCCCCTAAGTCTTGAATGATTGCCAAATTGGACGGGAAGGCAAGATGTTTCTTCAAATCAAGTTTGAATTGTGCGATATCTTGAAATAATATGTCCGGTAAACTTGAACAATCTACCCCATTATTTACTATGATAAAAGCTCCGAGGGGTTTTAGCTATTAATGATTCATTAGCATATATAAATTATGATAACATGGCAGCGAATCGAAGTTATTTTCATTTGCAATTGACATGACCTGCACTTCTAAGAATTTTGAATCTTGAATTGAAAACGTACGAGTAACGTGACGTGAACTAATGTTTAAAAATACCCCAGAATATAGTAGAGTCACTTGAGGTGGCCATTACCTTGATATATTTGATGTCCGTCAGGGTGCACGTGCTGATCTTAAAACGTAAACAACACTAGTGCAGAAGAAATTAAACTTTTGAAAAATGGTTGTATTGTTTATATATMTTTGAGAGAAACATCAAAAACTAGCTGGTATAATGAAAGACTTTAAAGCAAGCTGTGATAAACACATATAATCATTCAATCAAGTTATGGTTGTGCACTCGACTTCGTGCATGAGATCGAAATATTACAATAGGATAATAAAGAGCCACGGAAAGGACACAAATAAAGTTTAGATATCTCAGTGTTTTTTGTATACATGTACTTAGTGATGTATGGAACAGTGTTTTYTATATTCAAAATAAAGAATGTTCTTGCCTCCCAAAGCATTACCAACATCAGAGAACTTAGATCCTCCAAAACCATCTCCTATGGAGTTGTTCACTCAATCATGAAAACCATACTATAAGTTTGTCTGATTAAATATTAGACTCTAATGCTCATTTATGTCATTGGATTGACTCATTAGATTACAATGTGAGAGTTTTTGACGAATATTTCGTTATCATCTCCTTTGTTTCATGAACAGTTTCAGTGAATGTTTCAGTAACTGCCAAGTGCCCCTTTGTCATCGATTATATGGCTTATTATAATATATTAACAATGGTGCTTGTGGTGCTATCTGACTCAGATAAAAACATATGTTAYATATATATTATATATATTTAAACACACCATATCAAGACTCAATTAATGGCTAGAGACATCTAAATTTGCAAAAAAAGTTYCTTTGCMAAAACMCATGCTCAGAAAGTGATTTTTGTAAAGGGAAAATGCAGGCAYTGATAACTCACGGTAGCTGTCGACGTAGTGAAGATGACGTGATCGAATTTTGTTAAGATCTTAATATTATATTACTCAATKTCCTCCTCCAATCTCGAGACTCTTATTAGTTCATCGATGGAGTCGACCTTGTCGGTGTTTTCTTACGATTTGTACATCGAAAAAAGGTCAGCGTTTTGACCGAAAGCGTCTGAGATCCGAGTTTATTTAAAAATCGAGCTTGATTTTACTAAAGCCTAATAATCACATAGAAAGAGTGCAGGCAATAAATYTAATGCGTCCAATTTAAGCAACTCAGCCTTGTTCCCACTATAAAGTTTCGAGTCTGCAGAGAATATATCATTTAAAATAAACACTAATCTTCATACTCAGGACATTGAATGAACTCTTTTTTTAATTTATTCACAACGACTCACGCGATGRGAAGCATATATATATATTATTTGGCACGACAAAGTAAGATCCAAAGACTGATAATATTCGCGCAACCACAGTAACAGTTGTTCTACTTTTAAATCTGAACTTTTTTGCATTTATAATTTGAAATCATGTATTCAACAAGATGATAATCAYGATTTTAAGCTGTTTCTTCGCGTCGGAAACTTACCGATCCCACTCGGCTGTGCTGTAGAATCTTGGATAATGRTTATAGGACATATCTGGAATACTCTCTGAGCTGTATTGGGCTTCTTATGTGCTTATACACTGATGAACTGAACCCTAACAACAACCAAATATCTAGAACATATCGAAACCCATATTGATGTACTATTGGTTGCAAAACATGACGTCATGCTATAGCTTGATGGAGTTTTTTACCTCATGTTGATGATAACAAAAGGTTTTTTTTTCAGCCAACCATGTGAGATCCAGACAAAAGAGAAACCAACAATATATCCACAGGGATTCGATTTTTGATTGAAAAATGCCAGTTTGGAAAACGAGTTTGCCACAACATATCGGACTTTTACTCGGCGATTTTTGGAAAGTAAAAAAGTGTCTAAGAATCTGTAATTATTTGTGTGCACAACATTTTCAGATTCAGAAATATTTTTTAAGAAAAAAATTATAAAAGCCTTTTAAAAAACAAGACACCTGGACACTGATACTACAGACTGAAAACAATAAACCTTTTATTCTTTCAGACACAAACAAAAATTTATATCAATTAATCCAAAGTTCTCGAGCGTAAAGAAGAAACAAATGAAAATAAAGCATGGTTTATTTTTTTGCTGAAGGAAATATTCATCTAACTACTAGCTACTTTCCTTGTTGATTTGCCTCGCGACTTAACACATATATCTATTCTCTTGACTGTACAGCCTTTTGCAAAAATTATGAGAATTGTCTAAATATCTAAATATCATAATATCCATATCCATATATTGTCCGGAACACGCGGGTTTGCTAGAATAATTCATTGTTGACATCGAGAAAATGTTCAGAACTACGGATAAGTCTGTCGCCAAAAAAAAACTAACCTACAAAGACAAGGGACTAAGGGCATCGCGCGGGATTACCCATCATGCACTCGATATTATGATATTTAGATATTTCGACAATTCTCATAATTTTTGCAAAAGGCTGTAAATAAGGACATATTGTACATAATATTATTCTAAATGTCTCCGTTGTTTCCTGATTATATGTGGATGTAAGAAGAGTGAATTTTGATCAAAATGATGACCTTCACTTMATAAGAATATGTACTTTTGAATAATTGAAAGAATTTGCATAGCCTCCGCCACAGGGTAATCCTTCTCTTTGAATCTAAATGTAAAAACAAGAATTTTGACTGCATTATGTAAACATCAAAACTAAAGTTTTACAGATTCGCTTTTACACCCTTAATTAATTGAAATAAAACACTGGAAAAAATCGCGCGCTTCAAAGGTTGTAAATTTGATGTAAATATGATGTAAGTGTCCAAAATTCTGTAAATTTAATGGCAATTATTTACATCAAATCTACAACCTTTGAAGCGCGCGATTTCTTCCAGTGAAATATTAAAAGATACAGGGGAAGCCATAGTTCTACAAGTCAGACAATGTATTGTTTTCGGGTCGACGAACAATATTTTGGAAAACAGAATGAAAACATCCTAAATCTTATATCATGTGGTGTTCATCTTATAAATTTCTACCTTTAACCAAAACATTTCTTACAAGAGTCCTACAAGTGGTTCAGATCATGCATTGACTCCAACTAGTCGTTTGTTTAAAGAGTTGAAATAGTCTTCTTCACGGTTCCCTGCGCCATCTTGGAAGGTAGCTGTGACTTTGCATCGAAGCGAGACGACCGTTGAGCGTGCAATGATAGAAACCTTCTTTCACACCTACAGACAATTATTCACAGGTATCTATCATTGCACGCTCAACGGTTGTCTCGCTTTGATGTAAAGGCACGGCTACCTTTCAATATGGCGCACGTAACCGTAAAGGAGACTATTGTAATTGTAGTTTACAGGAAGTAGTTTTTCCAATAGTGCTTACTTCTGAAACCTAACAGTTTGGATCACTTCCATTGCCTTCCGAATATGTGTACGTAAGTACGTAAGTCCCTATCCGAAATACTTAAATTTCCACAAACAAAGTCTCACATTAAGTGGGTGCAGTGCATTTGGCAAGGATTCATAGCCTGTGGCTGTTGCTTCTTGAAAAGGTAACAGACAATAGCGACGAAGATCTAGACCGTTGAAAACATGAACATTGCCATTGATATTTTTGTAACTTATAGTMAGATAACATGTAAGATATAATAGAGGAGACAGAAACAAAACGTATCTACTGTGATTTCTGATCGAACACTACTCCCAGAYAATAATAGCTAATAATGTCAGTATCCAAGTATGTATCACAAGACATAACCTATGAGAAATAAAGACAACAATTACGAAGACAATAAATTTACAAAGTTTATTATAGAATAGAAAAAAATGTGAAGGATATACTAGATTATATACTTAGGTTATGATAACTTCTTAATTCTCAAGGCTACTTCTAAATAATCAAACAATAAAAGCCGGTGCAAATGGTTTCAACATTTATTTCAAGATTCGTTCACCTTCGTTGGACACCATTGAGGAACGCCTTTGCTTGGGTCTTTCGACACGTGCTGTTAAAATGTTAAAAAGCGTATCAAGAACCTTTGTCTCAACATTCGTTCAACATTTCGCTTGTTCTTGAAGATTTTGAATGATATCGAAACCGGTTTGGGGGTCACATCCACAAGCATCTTTCTCTTTATTTGCTTTATTTGGCGACGAAACATGTTGAAAGCACCAGTCCACGTTCAGCTGCTGCTCTGTAAAATCAAATCTTGACAGCGTTTGTGAACTCAATCATAAATCAACATCGCTCAACAATGCTCTGTAGCGTCCAAAAAGTCGAACGAATGTTGAAAGAAATTTTGAAAGCATCTGTTCACAAACGTAATATTTTATTGTCTTGAGCGTTTACACGTCMTAAACGTACATTCTGAAAATGAACACCATTGCATGAAAAGCCAGGAAGATTAAATTAGCTAAAAAGCTAAATCTTGCCAGGGTCTATCCAAGTCTCTTTTCATCAGCTCCATTTAGTACAAGTATGMATCAGTCTGATACTTCAAACTCTATTTCATATCTTGCACCTTTCAGCTGGTCACACGTGAAGCTGACATCAACGGACCTTTTTCCAGTCCGAGATGATTTTAATACGGCAGTTCCACTTGCTTCCTSGTTAGGCTTGACAGGATTTCTGTTGAATATATTCGTTATATCAATCTAAAAAATCTTTACTTAGTATAATTTAGAAGTACAAAGGATTCAGAAAAGGTTGCTTATGAGAATGGTTATATGGGTTCTTAAATGCCAGCTCAAATATTCTAGAAGTTTGACATAAATGAGAATGAACATTCTGAAGAGATCTTTAAGACAGCCTTTAATATTTTCTTTGTTAACATCTTGCGACATAAAAAACTGTAGGTATGCTACTCATATATATGCCACAAACACTCTTAACCTGTCATCTGCTCTACGGGGATCAGACGCAGTCGCACAGAAAGGCAGTGGATGAGCTGTAAGATGGACTGATGCAGTGTCAAGCAACCTCCAGGTTCTCACTTGACGATGGCCGAGCAAGAGACCAAGGAGAGACACTGCCAGTGTGCAGTTTAAATGAATAGATGATAGCCAGATCCAGGATTTTCTTCASTGGACTGGCTCAGGTTACCAAAGGAGGCGATACACACCATAGAAATGTTAACCAATGGTGTAAGTTATAAAGATGGGGGAAATATTAAAGGTACAATATTTTAAAGAGAAATGGCACTACAGTTGTTCTCAGCGTCCACCTTGATCTGATATTGGATATAGTATGGTTCGCTAATGCAACAAATGMAACAAATACTTACTTTACACGTAGTTTCAACGTGTCCGGACTTACAAAACGAGACGTCTCCACATTAAAAACACARTTTGTAAACTTAACAGGAAGATGGTTTTGAAGAGAGAACTTAATCTCAAAAGTTTCATCCTTTTTCACCTCGTCAGGCATCTAAAACAAAAATGCATGGTAGTTATCGATAACGCTTGCAAAGGATTGTCCCGGAGAATGGAGAGTGTCGAATGAATGTACTGAATGTTAAAGAAGATCATTCACGTCAATATCATCTTGAAGTCAACTGCTCAATTGGATGACAAACTTCTTGAATGGATAGGGATCTAAACAGCTATTGATTGAAACAGATAACAACGCATACCGAATACATAACGTCAGGTTTCTGGAACTCTAGGGTCTCTATTCCATTAAATGCTTGTCCTGTTTGAAGTACTTTAGCTTTGTAGAATACTTTGATGCTGGCGTCGGCAGCAGTTTTGTTTACATAGCTATCACCCGTTATTGAAAGGCTGACGACTTCATCTGTAAARTAATYAAAACKTAGGGCAGCTRAYGCATMAAGGYAAAACACACATTCGTCCGACCATCATGAAGCATATCAACTGTAGCATCAGCTGCTCAGACKTACCTTTCCCACCATCTAGAGTAATATCCTTWYTCAAGTGTTCCAGGTTCCTAGCAGTTACCCCTGTATAGAACGCCATCTTAGTTACAATGTGAACATTGACGGTTCTCTTTTCTTTTGAAGTGTTCTTGATGAGCAACTGCACATCTACATCATCTCCAAAATTCACACTTTCATTTTCTATTTTGGGTTCAAACTTGACATCGTTTGAGGTCTTCTTGTAGATGTTTTCATCTTTYCTGGAGCTGTATTTATTAGCTTGTCGGACAGCTGTTCTTTCTTCGTTGCTTCCTGTTAGATAGAAATTAATACAAATTATCAATTTCATATTCATACTTTAATGTAGTTTTCTCGTTTGTAAGACTGATACCTTATAATGAAAAAAAAAATGCAAATAATGCACTGGCTATATATACGTACTTTAGTTACACCAAGAAATTACCAAAATCCTAAACTTATCGTAAGAGCCGGTAAGTTAAACTTTTAACGCACCTGATTTCAACCGTGCTTAAAAGTTTTTCCTACCATTATTTTTACGTTTATCTGACGATTATCAATGTATTGAATGTGTTTATTAAGCCTTTCCTCTTTTGGCAAACACTTGAACACTAACAATAAGGCCTACGACTACACGATAGTTTGCTCATGCGTGTATGTCGAATAGACTGTGTAATGATACTTTTAAGAGAGACTTCGGTTATAACTATCAATAATGCTCTGTTCACATACCTTCAGGGTATTTGTAATGCAGCGTAAGGTCTTCSCGGAGATTACTTCCAACAGCCTTAGTACTGATGAATTTACCAATAGATCTTTTATCCACATATGTTGGTATCATCTCACCGTTTTCTTCTACTTCCCAGTACACACGATCACCGTTCACCTCTCCAAATATAAAGCCWCCATCATATGGGAGGTACACTTCTCCTTCTTTGATAGCCTTGACTGGGCAGGGGCCACAACGATGAACTCCTGGTAATTATTTATAAGGCACAATAAAATCAAGGTCGAATGCTTCAAATTTTAGTTTCTTTAGTATTGAGCCAATGCAAATTGCGATGAAACWTTGCTTAGGAAACGCGCTATTTGAAATTAATTGATCAGTTGCGGCCAAAACTGGGTTTGCATAGTATATTTGCGAGTAAAACTCTTTACATCCACTATCTTTGTTCTGACAAGGAAGTGCGTTCCATTTTTAATCACGACCCTAATATTTATGTTAGAGAATCTTTAGTCACTCATGGTGTCAATAACAGATCATCGTCGAATCTCGACGTCTCGAGACATAACTATGTTCTATGTTATTCTGAATTAACGTTAGACAAGATGCGTAGCTTATTTTCAAGCAAGAGTCACCTTCACTAGTTTCTTGAGGTGTTGCGTCATGAGCCTGCCAACCACCATAGCCAGCGGGGAGGTCCGGTCGAGCAAAGTACGACTCATTCCAAACATGGAAGTTCCTTTTTTATGAACAATAAAATAGAATATGAACAAAGCAATGTTTTTTTAAGGCTTACTGAAGGTACATTGTTTAGTAATCATGATGAGAATGACCTTACCAAACGGAGTCGTTCAAATCTTCCATCGGTTCACCCTCTTTGTCAAAGTGGAAATCAATGGTCATACTTGCATCCGTGTCATGAGCAGACTCAAAATTAGTGACGCTACGTGTTGGGATCCCTATGGCACGGAGAACTGAAGAAAATCATCCGGTTAGGATGTGACGAAACAACTGGCTTATTGCACTCTCCTAGGGTTTTGGTCACTGCGAATCCTAGACATATTGGRGAAGGTACTACTTTGGAATGAATTGGGGCAGTTTTGCATTACTGAACAACGGCAAGGATCTCTGCATTATCAAGACAAAGTGAAAGGCGTCGTAAGAAACTTTGAAGATCTTACTAGGATTGAGAGTTCTTGCTAAAGTACTCTTTTTGTAGAAATGTGAATACTTACGAGTGGTGACCAGTCCAGAAAAGACCCAGCACTGTCCATAACGAACGACTTCAAGCTTTCTCAAGAACTGCTTCAGAATGGCAACGCTTCCCGCCCATTCTGTCGGAGACGTGGAGTCTTTTGGATACGTCTCGGTCCACCGTCCTTCCAATATTCCCCCATCATCGTCATTATCATTAGCCTTGCAGCAKAAAGGGAAGAACACATTGTCAATGATCATTCATAATGTTTCTTTGATATACCACAGTCACTATTCTCATAACTATCATAGTTATCATCATCATCATAATGAGTTAAAAATAATAAGTCATTGTAAAGGAGTACCACAGGGATCTATTTCAGGACCAATACTCTATCTTGATTAAACTCACCTTTATGTGAAAGACACTCTGCAGACATTACACTGGAAAAAATCGTTCACTTTAAAAGGTTGTAAATTTGATGTAAATATTGTGTAAGTGTCCAAAATGATGTAAATTTGATGCTTAAATTTGATGTAAATTTACATCAAATTTACATCATTTTGGACACTTACATCATATATACATCAAATTTACAACCTTTTAAAGCGCGCGATTTTTTCTTTTTTTTTTTCTTTTTTTTTTCTTTTTTTTTCTTTATTTTTTTTCGATTTTTTCTATATTTTTTCTATATTTTTTCTACTAGTGATTAGAGTGGCATGCATCAAATATGCTTTATAAACAGATAAATGAAGGAAAGAATTAAATCGCTGTATAGCTCTTACGTACCATTTGTGAGATGACTCTGCAGACACGTGTCGCATTCCCACGTGCAGTAGTTCCTAATTTTGAAATTTCAAGAACTTTTAAGCAGCAAGGCAAGGAAACTTCTTCAAACTGAAAAARGTATGATATGTTTAAATGGGCTAGAATTCGTTTCATGAAATCTTCTTTTTAAGAGCTTATAAAAGTTGTAAATGCAATGGCATGCCATGCTACCAACATACCTGCCCAAAATTCCATGGAATGCCCCCAAAGTTTCTGGAATTTCCRACCCAAATCCTYCCACGATCGTTCATKACGTATTCCTGACGATCTGCKTCATTTTCCATGTAAACCACGTCATCTGTCAAAACGATTGAATACAAAGCTAGTGATATTATTAAACCTTATTTGAACCTCCACAGGATACAATATGCTGAGGTTGGATTTATCGCTTGACAGTCGTGCCGATATGGCATCAATAATCTTCTAAAGTGGTATCATGCAATATGATCTTTCTCAACATTTAATTAAGAGTCAAAATGCATGATATATAGCTTAGTTCATGGCTTGACCAACGCTTGCACCGCGGTATACTACAGTGCAGCAAAATATAATAACCAATATCTTCTCGAAARTTTAAATTACAAACAATGCTTACCTTTGCACCAGGCGTTAAACAGAACAAAGAAAGTTTCATTCAATTTTCGTCTGAAAGTTAAGAATTCGTCTGTGTTCCCAGCTTTCTTGGTCTTCGTYTCAACATATACTGTGTACTCTCCRACCAAGGCATTAGCAGGAGACATCAATGTCAGGTTAACTTTATTACCATCTTTACCATCAATGCGCATSCCCCATGATGACGTAGAAAGAYTTTTGACTTCTTTGACACGAATCAAAGAGTGTTTACTTTCTTGTGGACGGTTACCTWMAATGAGAAAATATCWAAGATAAAACTGGTTTGAGACGGTTCTTCASGAYCARTCGCCAAGGAAACMTTTGAGCATGCTGAATATATGATTAAGATGGCGGTGGTCGGCATATAATTCAATATGGCGAACGTGTCCTTACCAAAACCAAGCTGCACGATCAATTCGTCTTTTTTTGCATCAAAAGGACGATCAAATGTCAAAGTAACTTTGAAMTCTTGYCCTCTTCTAACAATAAGATTTTCCATGGCATAGTCATCGGTATGGTGGCCTTTGCGATTTTCATCGAGGTGAAAATCTCCTTTTTCATCTGGCTTCAGCTGGGACGCTAAATATTGGAAGTATTTGTTAGTAGCCACTGCTCCTATAGAGCCCTTTTTTCAAAATGTCTGCTGCTCATTAGCATAAAACTATGTTCAACCTTAAATATATGGATTTTCAATGAAATTTATTAAGATTTTGCAGGGTTTTGCTCATAACTATAGGTATAGTGGTACAGTTACAACTCCCAAACATACCGTCTTTCTTCTTCACTGTCACTCTCAATGCAGCCATTTTTTCACGGAAGTCTTTGTCGTTTATGAAGTTAGTACGGCCATTGTTATCGTTATCTCCTCTCAAGCGACTTCGTCTTGAACTATCAACAGCATTAAGGCAATTCATCATGAGTGTGCGTGTGAAATGGAAACTGAGAACTTGTTATCCATAATTGTTTTTTAAAATACTTACGATGGAGGACTTGTTCGTCGTCTTTTTGGCCTGAGAAATTAAAAGACATTTATTAAAGGACAAACACTAGCATAAATGTACATCCCTAAGAGCATGGGATAACCAGTGCCATCCTGCCATTGTCATAGCAACAAGTGTCGACTTGGTAGCCGCCAGCCTACAGACAGCTATTATTTCGCGAGCTCTGATTGGTGGAAAGCTTGTTATAATTTCTTCCAACATGCACTCGATTTGTAGTCCAGAGGCACCAGATCGCCCCGTGTAATAGAATCCGGAATCCGGAATCCAGTAAAAAAAACAGCTTTGGAATCCGGAATCCCTATCCTGGAATCCGTAATCCAAATACTTATAATCCAGAATCTGGAATCCAGCAAAACTTTTGATATCTAAAAAACACATAGGACATCGTCCCGCTGACGCCTCTGCGCAGGCCTACTGACACGCCGCGTGTGATCAGCGGCTGAATATATATTTTTCAGGAAAAAAAACCCCTGAAAATCAGGCCATTTATTGTACAGAATCCAAAACAAGAATTCTTTGGAATCGGGAATCCCAAGGCTTGAAATCCGGAATCCAATGCTTCGGAATCCGGAATCCAGCGCTTGAATCCGGAATTCCCTAGTTCTCTGGATTCTCTTACATGGGGCGAACCAGACTACTGACAAAATTTTGTCAAATTTTTTTTAAAAGGTCTTGCTGTGCTTAAATTGAATATTTGTTTGCTAAAGTGCTTAGGTTCGCGGCWCAAAGAACACGATGGGGCGTTGTCTCCCAGACGGTTTTCACGTTTGACTTATGTCTGTTTGCACGTATTCTATTAAATATAACTACTTTGCCCACGCTATTTCTATTGCCTCTATTGCATATATTCAAACGTTGTAAATCATACATTCGTCAATTATATCCTGAACAATTGTTTTAAAGAARTTGTACGGTTTTCTCTTGGTTGCTATTTCCATCGTCGGAATTAATCAAAGAAATTAAAATTTCTCATGATAYAACTAAAACTCCGCTCCACTTCAGAAAGACTCAAATTACCATTATATGGCATAACAATCTATAAACCACCAACGAAAACAAACAATAAAATCATGGTACCGGCTCAAAGACAAGCCCCTGACATGTGATATATATATTGTTACGTTTTCAGTAATAATACAAATATCATATTCGTTTAATCGTTGTCACAGAATAAAATATCAAAAGACTTACAGCAGTCGATCTTTGAATATCATTAATCAATGAATGTAGCGGAAAACTGAGACCATAGATAATTATTCAGCTTTGCTACTGTTCAAATCATGCATGACAAAGTAGAAGCACGCTCTCTGGCACGACATATACGGATCATATTGATTAAGAACTATATGGTCTATATATGAGAACGARGTGAGCCGWTTATGGTTTCTCACTGCTCAGCTTGTCATAAATATGCTGCCTAAACACRATAGACKGCGTTTTTTTAGATTTAGGCAGCTGCACCATACAGTTATTTCTAGGGATTCTATAAGTTATCAAGTTAAGTTTAGTGGCTTCTTTTATAGATTTATGTCATTTGATTGATTGATAAGATTAATGGTTCGATAATTTTTCCGTTGTAGCTGTTATTTGGCATATGCATARATCGACARTATAGTCCATGCTTTATTTTTGGTCTGTTTTGAAAACTAACTTGAGAATCGACTATGGATTTGCAMGTTTGGTTTGCTATAGTAAAGCGATTTTTGCACCTGTAGATAAAATAGAAACGTGCTATCTTTGTGCAGTAATCCATTGTCAGCAAAGAAAGCAATAGCTTTAGTGTTGAAGCACATATAAACTTCAATTAAAGTGTTTCAAAGTATGGGTAGAAATCTTTCTCAGTTTATATAATTGGTGGTTGCTGGCAATTTTGCAAAAACTAATGCCTCATAGTTAACGTTTTTTTCTATATAGTCAAGATTAATATGGGTGAATTGTTTATATTATTCATAGCTGGTTAGTGTAGGTTTAACAGCGTACTCACGATACATCATCTGATCCACTTGAACGACGTCTTCTCGAGCTCTCCACACGTGCAGATTCACCTCTCCTAGTAGTTCTAGTTCTTGGCATTTTTCAAATTAAGATTACTTCACTACCGTTTCCCTGTTTTAGTTACAATCGTCTGCTTTTTAAGCTTTATCGTTCACAATCGTCGAAAATGWAACCGAARGGGGAATCCATGGAGTACCAGCGTGTCTGAATRTGAAGCTTGAATATGAAATGAGCTAAGCTCGTTCTCAGGCTATACTCTGCTAAAGCTACCGAATCCAAGATGGACGACTTTGACTTGCATTTGCAGCTCGGCTTATAGAGGAAATATCTTTGTGATTCTTCGATGCTTCAACTATACAGTTGATATAACATTTAAAGTTGTTCAGTTGTAAAAACATAAAGACCAAAACAAAATCATTTGAATATTTCGTGTTTATAATTTCCTTTTCAAAAATATTCAGCATAAATTTACAAAACTTCTTTTCAATGTCAATAACATTCAATTCGCTATCCTGAAGTATAGAATTATTTTTTTCTGTTGATTTTAAAAATCTCTTTATACAAATGACTTCGTGTCTGTATGTTTTTAAAATGAGCAACGTTCATGGGATTGACTGATTGACTGAATTTGGTAGTCCAGACAAAGTCGAAGAACCCGAAAAAGCTGTATGTATTTTTTTGTTCAATCTCAACGAATGCATGAAAACATTAATATTTTTGCGAAAAAGAAACTTAATGACACAAGCTGAATTCAAAGTAAAACTTTATTTGCTAAAATAAATTTTATATTACTATCTATTAACTTTTAAAATTCAGAACAAGTCAGTGTTAAAATTGCATTGATATTCTGCTAAAAAGAGGTACCTACSCCGAGGCAATTCAAAATAAATATATATTAAACTACATGAAGAAACAACAAACTTTGATTCGTAAAAAAGTAGCTATATAATACAAGGGAGTTCAATGATGAAAATCTAATTATTTTGTGAATTTTCCATAAATTTGGTATCTTTTGGTCGTGGTACTTGCTACTCCTAGCATATAAAAGAATTTTGACATTACTTAGAATTTGCCACCTCGAAGTCAATCTCGCCACGCACTCCACACAACTGATCAGACTTGAAACTGACATCCACAGACCTTCGTCCTCTTCGWGATGCTTCCAAAGTTACCTTGACAGCAGCTTCTTCGTTTGGCTTCACAGAATGCCTGTGATAAGACATTGGAACAAATAAGAATTTTCTTTTATTAACTATAATTACTAATCATTTGCGCGACGACGATTTTAAATGACGACATGGTGAATCACACCATTGTTCTTACTTGAGGATTTTTGTGATTGCATCTGGACTCAGGTGGCGAGAACTTTCCATGTTGAAGACACAGTTTGTCAGTTTAACGGGAAGTGGATTCTTGAAGTAGAATTTAACTTCAAAACTCTCGCCTCTGATGATCCTTTTAGGAGCCTGAAGATAGAAAATTCTTTCAAATCACAATATATAATGATTTAAATATTATTTACAAACTTTGTAAACTAGTCAACTTTTCCAGTGATGATGCCAGATATCGATTATTCCTCTAGATGTTTTACATATTGATTAGTATGAGGGATGTCCAGGATTCACTGGAAAAAAATCGCGCACTTTGAAGGTTGTATATTTGATGTAGATATGATGTAAGTGCCCACAATTCTGTAAATTTAATGGAAATAATTTTACATCAAATTTACAGAAATTTGGACACATCATATTCACATCAAATTTATAACTTTTAAAGCGCGCGATTTTTTCCAGTGATTGGCCTATGGTATCCCCTGTCCTCATAGGACAGTCCCAAGATCTCCAGTATACAAGTGCATACCCCATAGTTTACTAGTGTCTCTCCCATATACCCAATTCCCCGTGGGGACTGGGAATAGTGACATGCTAACTGCATGTCCCCTATACCCTGGCCTACCCTGTATGCTACATAGTATATGAAGTACTTCTAGTTACCGTATACAAGAGCTGTGGCTTTTTAAACTCAACGGTATCCATACCATTGAAGACTTGCCCTGTTTCCTTCACTTTGGCTTTGAAAAACGCTTTAATACAAGCATCAGCTGCTGCTTTCCTAAAATACTCTTCTGCTGTTATGGTTACTGTTAGGGTGTATTCTGAAAGATAAAGATTTTGAAATCATGCCTGACTGATTTGTGTATGAGCATGGTGGAGGAAATATCTGTGGTATAGTGGTTTATGCTTGTT